AAGTACCATCCTCGTGCACCTTCATTGCTCGTGACATTACACTTGGTCGGGTCTCGGCAACGAGATACTATCTCATTTTTTCTGCACGCTGCACAGCCGTTTACGCAATTCATAAATGTTCCATGTTATATTTAGCTTCTCCATTTTTACACGCATCTTGTACGCCGATTACCGTAGCTCGCGCTTCTTTTTCGATCAATATTATCGTCCCGAGTATATATATAAATATATACATACATGGAAATACATATGTATATGTGTATATGTGTATACATATACTACGGTTCCGATCACAGGGCGAAGCACGTCTGGCTTCAATTTAGATCACCCTCCATGGGACATACGGATGCGTGAATGATTTACCTTCTACGATGCTACTCAGGAGATTCGATTTTATTATTTATAGTCTGTTAATGTTAAGCAGTCTCGAACGATTTAGAATAGCAGCCTCAAATTTTATGCATTACGTGACTCTTTAAGTTTCAACTGACGATTATATTGTAGGGAAATATAGTTAGATACTAATAGGAAACGTTACATCTCTTATTAGTTCAATAATAAGTTCGTTCGAATCCGGAGGATGTTTTGTATAAATAATTTTTATTTCGCAATGTACAGAAGGCATTACTAGAATTATTTTTTAGAGAATCACTCAATTATAAGTTATTGATATAAATTATACAGTTAATCCTGATTTTATAGAAAATCTATGTATAATTATTTATAGTATCAAAATAATATTTTTCGTTAATGTGAATTTAAATGATCGGTGAAGAATTAATATATAATAATAAACCCTGTTAAGACATACATAAATTTTAAAACAAGGCTGATATAAATACTGTACAAAATTTCATGGAATATTGTTTACCAGCCTACATTCGAACGAATATGTTATTGAACCCGTCTCAACCGAATCTTACCAACAGACTTCAGTGGAACTCAATGAAACACTTCTCCGTTAGAAGTAGTAGATAATCGGTTGCAGAACGGCGATCCAGTAGGCATCGCGCCTCGGAAAGACGAAATGGAACCAAAACGATCGTTTGATCGATGATATTAATTAATTAGGAATAGAGTGTGCGAGAAAGAGAGAAATAACGAAGGAAAAAGGGAGAAAGCGTGTGAATGATGAAAGTAGAATAAAAGGGAGACAGAGAAAAAGAGAGAGAGAGAGAGTGAGTGAGAGCAACGGATCTCAGCGATCATGTGTGTTCTAATGATGATCTCGGCTAATTAATTAGATGATTAGCAGTTAGAAGGATGCAGCTGGGCGAAACTGGGCATAGAATCTGTAGTGATAGAAGTGTCTTGGGGACGTGTGCGTAGGTTCGGTGACGAGCAGTGACAGTGGTCACAGTACACAGCTGGACAGCCACAGCGGAAGCAGCGTGGAAGCCGGTGGCAGTCCACCGCCACCTCAAAGACGGCACTCCGCCATGCAAGGTACGTAACGACAATTAGAAAACAAAACCCACCAAGATATATCCACAAGCTCGTGCTCATTACCTATTCTTACCTTTTTGCCCGCTCCGTAGATCAGTAGACTAGAAAGTAGAGAAATAAACAAAAAATATATATATATATGAAAGAATCTGGAGTGGTCCGGTGTCGAACTTCCCACCAGAAACGTGTCGTTTCCGTTACCTTTTGGTGAAAAAGAAACACGTGACTCGAGCTGCATAGATTGTGTCGCGGGCACTGGGAAAAGTCGTATTTCTCGTTTGGTCACGGATGAAAGGAACGTGGAACGGATCAGGACTCTGGTCTTTTTGTAAACGTTACTTAGAGTCCTGTGAGAAACTTCTGTTTATTCGGATTTCTTGTTTTCAACGAGATCTATCCTCGGATCTCTTCTATATTGTTCGGTGCAAATGCTGTCGATTGATACAAAGTTGAGAATGGTGGTTCAAGGTTCACTAGTTTCTTCAGTTACAAAGTATGAATATTATAGTCTAAGATAATCCATTCGAGGAACATCACGAGATCACAGATAAAAAGCTGTTCGATATCTCGGAACCCCTGTATCGCCGTCAATCGAACGGGAAATACGATTCACTCGAAACGCGTGACCCTAATCTATGCCGCTGCGAAACGTCGACCTCGTGCCATCGAATGTGTCCCAGATCGAACACAGTAATTGCGTGAATTCCTTTCGTTGGTCGGTTGAGTGTTGATCGAGTCTCTCTCTGCTTGCAAACCGCGTGGCCGTGAATCTGTTCTGTTATCACGCGGGGATTCTAGTAGTGTGTGGACACAGTACTGTCGTGTTGGTAGCCAGTAAACGTGAATGATTCGATCGCAAAACGAGAAAAAAAAGAAGAAAACGAAAGAAAGTGTGACACTTGTTTGTACTTACCTCACCGTCTTTCAGCGATCCGTGCAAATCATGTATTATTATCCTGTCAGTTTTATTTTTTGTCTGCCTTTCGTTCCCTCTCGTCTCCCCTT